GCCACTCAATACCTTTACTCCACCATGTAGCAACATTTTTTTTTTGAAGCATCCTACATAATTAAAGAGGGATAAAATTAAATTTCTTGAAAGAAAGAAGAACATTTATTACATATGGTAGTATGGTGGAGGATGCACATGGAGCAATGATTATTTCTTAGCCATAAATGCCATTACATTTTTATAAAGATATTTAATCTTACCCCTCCTAACTATGAAAAGTGCCCTTACTAAAAAACAAAAAATTGTACTATATACGTTAAAAAACGTTGAGTATATTATCAATGTAAAATTGAGGAAGAAATGGAGAAATGATGACCGGCGGTAGAGCGCAACCAACCAAAATCACAGTTAGCAATAACGATTTATAATAACTGCAAACGACTACTGAGGCCAACAGATTCTACTAAAAAGGTACATTTTATTGATATAAGATTTTATTGGGATAAAGATTAGTAAGATAACCTCAGTTTGGCTAAATATTGGAATCTCCAAATGAACAGGCATGTTCTAAATGTTTAATTATCCTCGGCTTTTTCATTAATTGTCTTACTTATACACCCACTAGATGCAATAGTTAGGCAGAGATCTCATCGATTTCCTTTTTGGCTGAGGTTTCTAAACCAGACATTTTAAATGAGCAGTTCAAATTTTCAAGAATTAAACTTGACCAAAAGGAAACAAATCCATACCTCCCTTGAACCAAGCTGATTGGAATGATAGGAACGAGGAAATGTACCACAAATGCATAGTTTATCATTTGATATGAATGTTTTTAAAGAATTCTTATGCTTGAACAAATCATATTCACAGCTTCATCCTCAGGAATTGTAAAATGGAGAATTGGAAATAGCTCATGCAATGAGTTGTCAAAAATGCTCCGCTTCATTAGCTGCTTGATCCATACAGGTGAAGTATCTTTGTTAGTATTGAAAAAAAAAAAAAAACGAAAGACTACTATATTCTTCGTACAGAATATGACAACGAGTGACCTTTTGATAGAATAGTACAGGGGAGTTTCCTAATAAGAACAAACAGGATGGCGTCCAAGAAGATGAAAAGAACGGGCGAAAATGATCAAGCTTATTATGATCTCTTCATCGAAACATGAGGGGTGTTCCCGATCAGACTTCCTCTTGATAGTATACACATCTAGGACCGTGTTACCACTTGGAGATAGTGTAGTTTATTCCTCTCTAAATCTAAAAGGAGAGGACTATCCATAATACCATTTAGAAGCCACGTTCTTCTTGGTGTGAAGATATAGGTCTCAAAAGTCCACACTCCAGAGAGCTTTTTCACTTTCGCCACAACGGCGGTGCACTTCATAAATTCTTTCGGCAGACTTGCAAATACCACTACAGCTCCAGTCAAATGAGGCAGCACAAGCATGCCCTCCCTGCGCCTTCCACTCACAATCTGAAAAGTATTGATTTGCTTATGTTGAAGTTCGACAATCTTTTGTTTCTAGAGAAACACTTCAATTACAAAGATCAATTTGTGACAGATAATTACGAAGACAACGAAGCGAAATGGAAAACTTTGGCATACATGGGTGTCATGTTATTGGCCTCCCTCGACACATTACTAATGCTAAAAGTACTGAATACAAAATTCATGGGTGTCAAGTTCTCTAACCCTAGAGCAATCAAAGTACAATAACATAATGCACGGTCTGAAGAGAAGATAGGACATCATTCAAAATTAATTGGATTCTAACCATATGGGTAAGGTGAGGTTACCTGGAGGAGTTCCACAACAAAGTGTGCGGTCATCAATGTGCTCCACGTCCATCCCTATGAACCAAGACCCTAATGAAACATCCTCATTTACATATTTGTGTAGCATGTGCCTTGGAACAAATTTTGTGAATTAGAATTAGTGTCCACTACGATTATCAGAAGAAAAAGAATTACTATCCACAAACTAAAAACAACAAAGAACTTCTTACCTGTTTTTCGATATATATGTCGCCAACTCTTTGGTAATTGCATATAGTTGTCCTGTCGCATGCCTAAAATATCGGTTTCCCTCCTCCCCAAACTTCCAAAACTCTGGCTCATAGTACCTCACACCCCTGGTACAGTATTTGTTGTTCTAGGAATTAATCAAAGTCGAAGCATTTCAGTAATCAAAATTCAAATTGCAATGTAAGAATGTCTCATTTATTTTATATACATCATGTTATCATAAATAGAAACCTAAAGCACATCATGCAATTTTTCAGAATTAGGAAAGCGGCTCTGACTCGCCAGGGGTCTGATTCTGATTAGCCTGGTCCACCTTAGGCTGTTCCCAATTCAGATAGGGCTATATATCAATAATAATACAAATACTACAAAGCTGGGAGATTTGGGTGATTCTAGGGTTTCTTGGCATGGAATTGCCAGCCTCAATCTGGTCGGGATTGGTGCTTCCCGAATCGACAAGGTGATTATTGAAACATTGATATCATGAGAGATGTAGCATATGTTGTGTATGCTCAACTATCAGCCATTAACAAATGGAGGTTGTAATGTAACCACTCTTCCTCTCTAATGGACTTCACAGTGGTGGTTCATCTCAACTATAAGTTTTCCATTGTTGACAATGGACTATTGAGGATATACGTAGCATACTGTCTGTATCCAACATGCATCATAGTATACAATCTCAGAGACATTTGTCAGAAAAGGCTAAGAAATTATTATAGCTGTGAGAAATAATCATACTTTTGAGAAAGAACTGGACCGGACTTCATGCAACCAATATAAACCCGAGGCTTTGACTTGTGCCTTGCCAAAGTTGTTCCAAGTGCTCCTGCATAACCCATATCAATAGCGTAAATGAAGACATTGGTAATCATCTCCCAGACCCAAAAGGCTTAGGTGCAGTTGCTTACCTAGATTGACATGAACATCATCATCAACTTTTATATAAAAATCTGCATCCCACAAGGAAACAGCAGTAGAAAAATATGTCATCGTCTTAGCTGACAATTCAAGGTACCCTTCAACATGCTCCTGCGCATTGCAAAGAGCAAAATGAGAAACACAAAAACATTTTGCAAACTGAAATGAATATTCAGTAAACTGTGTAATGTCCAGATGGCTGGGGGCCATGAAGATTTGCAACCACATTGCCAATAAATCAGGGTCAATATCAGAAGGACCAAATAATCATTACATATTATTCTATAACATTTTAACAGGGTACTATTTGGAAGTATCTGACATATCAGACCTTATAACCAATATAATGGGAAATTATTTTTAGAAAATAACATAATGGGTTTACGTGACCTGGTTTTTACAAATACCAAAATCGATGCAGTCATGCTGATATATAACAGAAAAAATAAAACTCCAAATAGAATATATATTTAACCAAAAAGGGCAATCTTTCCTTAACCAAAAAGGGTGATCTTTTCTTTTTTGGGTGCACCGCCACACACTGCTCCAGGCCCTAACTAGACCATTTTTATCTGCCGATATTTTAAATTTTTCTGAACATTGACTAAAATAGTAAGTTGGCTTTTAGCAAAACTAGAATGATGGCAAGTTTGTTAAGGCAAATTAATCCGAAAAAGGGCTTTACCAGCCTCAAGAAATCCCCGTGCTTTCTGTTCTCAGCCTCAATTGCTCTATCCAAAATCCCACCTGGGGTTGCACTGAATTTTGCACAGTTCCACTAATTAGTTTTAGAATCATGAATGGCACACCAAACAACAAAATCTAGTGGAAGAGAAAAAAAGAAAAAAAAAGAAAAAGAAAAAAAAAGAACAAGAAATGAATGGATGATTTATGATACTGATCAATTATGGATATTATTCTATCAAGATACATATACCAAGTGTCTTATCAAATAATGGTGCATTTTTTCCAAAGCAAAAGCTGAACCTGAAAAAATTATAATAATGAATAATACAGATCACAAAAATGGTCAGCATCTATAAGAGAGCCATGATGATTGTTGTGTTTCAAAAAAGAAGAAAGAGTAAACAATAGTGAAAAGTTGCAAACAATAATCAACCACATAAAGTACCAGCTCCAAACTATGGAAACATAGATGTTTGATAGTCCCCTGATACAATATGAACATAGGGGGATACATATCAAACTTTTAAGGGCTCAATGCAACCTATATGCACTTTTGGTTGGCTTTTTCAAGTGCTATCCCCAAGTTGCTCCAAGATGACACCCAATAGATGTGAGATATTCGAACATAATTAGACTAAACGGTTATTTATATTTTTATCCAGTAAATGCTAGGCATTCTAAGTCAATACATGTCCCTCTTGGTGAATTAATTAGTACTAAAAGTTTTCAAAAAGAAGGCACTGGGAGTTTTAGTGACATTTGACAATAGTACTAAGGAGTTTCAAGTCAACTAGAAAGTCCCTTCCGCATGACTCGTGAGAAACACATGATAACTGCCTTCCCCAATTTGGTTGTGGGGCTTTGCTCTAATATCATTTGTAAACATGAAATCCCTTAGAAGATATGACTCATTCTCATTGTGGAAGACAATGATAAGTCTTAGGGCTCTTAACTAATGTAGAAAGTTCCATTGTTTGAAATAAATTATCGTGAAAATAATACATCCATTGATGCAGGGAAGAGAGGAAGAAAATAAATCATTATCATCGTAGCCTTTTTTCAATTATTTGGGGTCAGCTACATTAATCCTGATCAGCCATTCTGCTCTATTAAGGACCCATAAGTCTCCAAATCTTTTATCACTACTTTCAGCCATGTCCTTTTGGGCCTACCCTTGCCCTTTTTGAGCCTTCCACTTGAACCAACTTGCACCTCCGAATGGGTGTTGTACTGGGTCTACGCTGCACATGGCCAATCCACTTTAGTCTACTTTCACTCATCTTATTGCCTATTGGAGCCGCATCTAAATTCTCCCGAATGTATTTATTTCAAATTCTATCCCTTCTTGTCTTGCCACTCATCTAACTCAACATCCTCATCTTAGCTACACTCATCCTATGGGTATGTTGTTTCTTGACCGCCTAACATTCTACCCAATAAATCAAAGTTGGTCTCACAATTGTCCTATAGAACTTTCCCTTCAGCTTCATTGGTATGTGGCGATTACATAAAACTCCGGTTGCACATCTCCACTTCTCGTACCCAGCTCTAATTCTATGCGTGACATCTTCCTCAATCTCTCTATATTCCTGTATTATTGACCCAACATATCTAAAGTACGCTCTTTTTGTTATTTCTTGGCCGTCAATCTTAGCTACTTCCTCACCTCTACTCCTATTAATACTAAACTGGCGTTCTATATAATGTCTTAGTTTGGCTAATTTTAAAACCTTTAGATTCTAGAGCCTCCCTCCAAAGTTCTAACTTTGTGTTGTCACTGCTTCAAGTCTCATCAATAAAAAATATGTTGTCTGTAAATAACATACACTATAGTACCTCATCTTACATGTGCCTAATTAAATTGTCCATAATTAAGACAAAGAGGTATGGGCTCAACATTGACCCCTCATGTAGACCTATTGTCACTGAAAACTCACTTGTCACTCAACTAGTTGTTTATACATTAGTTAGCACTCCCTTGTACATATCCCTCATCAAGTCGATATAGATCCAACACCCATCAGAGTAAATCTCGAGGAACTCTATCATAAGCTTTCTCTAGATCAATAAAGAATATGTAGAGGTCTTTTCTGCATCCTAAACTTCTCAATCAGTTGCATAAGTAGAAAAATAGCCTCAATTATTGACCTCCCTAGCATAAAACTGAATTGGTTATCTGATATACTCGTTTCATACCTTAGTCGTTGCTTCATAGTGTGGCTCATAAGTTTAATCCATCGATAGTTTGCACAATTCTATATGTCTTCCTTGTTCTTGTAAATAGGTAATACAATACTTTTCCTCCATTTGTCTGGTATTTTTTTTGTTCTCAACACCTCGATAAATAACTTGGTCAGTTAGTCAATGCCGATCTCCCCTATGCACTTCGAAACCTCCATCGGGATGCCATCTGGTCCTAACGCTTCTTCTATCTTTATCTTTTGCAAAGCTTCTTTCACTTCCTATATCCTAATTCTATGAATGTATCTATGACCTCCGCCCTCATTTATGCCAATGGTTCCTTCTATTGTTGTGTTCCCATTGTATTCGTCATTTAATAATGTTTAAAACTAAATTCTCCACCTTTCTTTGACCTCTTCATCCTTCACCAATACCCTTTGATCGTCACTCTTAATGCATTAAATATGGTCAAGATCCCTATACATTTTCTCTCTCATTTTTGTTAATTTAAAGACATCTTTTCCACATTTTCTTGTTCCCAGTTTAATGTATAAAAACATACAAAATAAACTTTTATTCTCTTCACTCTCTTTTTACTGATCCAACAGTTATATATTTATAAAAGAAAACTCTAAAACCTAACTTCTTCCCTAAGAAACCCTAACTAAATCTAAACTCTTCATCTTTAAAAAAAGAAACTTCCAATGTTACTTCTCAATTCTCTATAACTAAAAAAAGACAAACACCCCTAAAGTAAACTAGAAACACAAAAAGAACTCCAAACTAACTTCAATCTCGTAGAAAAAATAATAAACTAAAAATAAAAAATAGAGACCTTGTTACATCATATTCTCGTAGGTTGAGAGGAGCTCGACCTCGAGCTTATTGAATACATCATATCTTTTTATAGTCTTTCCAATAGTTGTTGATGAAGTCCCACCATCGTCTGGGTACTTTATCTTCTTCTAGGAACCCATTCATCAAATACTTGATGTGAAACATATAGGGGAACTCTAGCATGTAAATTATCATCTTGATCTCTTTTTTGAGCTCCTCACATAAATCTGGAAGATTGACCTTGATATCAAGATCATGTGAATGTTCATCAAATTGTGGTTCTTGCATCACAATTTGCTCATTACATATAGGATCAACATTTGGAATCGACTGTGGAGGTAGATTTGTCTCTAAGGTGAAAGATGGCGCCAGATCCATATGATTGCAAGTATCCTCTTCTTTGTGAATGGTATTTTCCAAACATTGCAACCTCTGATTCATTATATGTCGATATGGATTGACTTAGGTTCTTTATGCTCTCTACAAATTGTTGTCTCACAAGTTCCACAATTTGTGGCAGTAGATCATCAATGGCAAGAATAGGTTATGGAGGCATTGTGATGGATGTATCTTGTAAAGCTCTAATACCATTTGATGCAGGGAGTATGGATAAAGAAAATTAAAAAAATTAGAAAAATAAAAAATAAAAATAAATTATGAGATATTATACCTTCTCACGGGGTCAGGAAGAGAGTCTAGGCTAGAAGGATATCGTCACAAACTCTTATTCTCTTCACTCCTTTTTTTCTAAGAAACCCCAACTAGATGTCAACCTTTCATCTTTAAATAAATAAACTTCCAATTCTACCCCTCAATTCTCTTCAACTAAAAAAAGACATAAACACCCGTAAAGAAAACTAGAAAAACAAAAGAACTCCAAACTTAAATTTCAATATCCCAAAAAATAAAATAAAATAAAAAATAAAAAACCTGTTTGCGTCATTCATCCACAAGTTTAATACAAATACCTAAGGATTACAGACATTTGCAATCGACAAGTTCACAAATTATATTCGCAAACATCGTATTAACCACTAATAACTACTCCAAGACTGTAAGTCTGTGCTAAATTCAACGTGCATGAAACACATTTATTGAAATCAAATTAATATGAATTATGAAAAAAATCACATTGATAATCAATTGATCTCTCTTCCAAGTGAAATTTGTGAGCCTTTTAATTTAATCAAGTCAGAAAACTAAACAAAAGGAAGAGCCTGATATAAATGTTTCAACATTGGATCATATTCATAATGGTATGGAAACACACCTGTGACCTATGACAAATCTAGCAATGATGCCTTTCTCTTCCTCCAACTTCTTTCTCTTTTCACCTGGGTTTTTGATATTAAGTCAATAACAGGGAATTCTCCACTCCTCTCAAAGAAATTCGAAGTATTTTCTTAGAAACAAAACATACAGATCAAAGTAACCTTGTGGCATCCATGTTGAGCGAATTGAGTCTCTGCGTTTTCTACTGTTAAAAGCTGTATTAATTCCTATAACCATGAAAGCTCGGCGTTTTGCAGTAGAATCAGAACCCATAGGTTTTCCAAGGCCATTAGAGCCTCTAAGTAGCCTCCCATGTGAAGCCTTTGCTGCTTCTAATTCCATCTCTATATTTAATATGGTTTTATCCAGTGCCCTGCAGAAAATAAATTATACCATTTTTACATAGTGAATCTTCTTGGTTAATAAATGTATATGAACTGGGAATTTATTCAAATGTCACAGTATAAAGCATGAAAATCGACTCGGGTAGCTGTAAACTACACAAAGCTAATAAATAATATGATAAAAAAGCAATTGAAATGCAAGCAAACAGAAGATAACATACTCAATAGAATGGTCTGGTGTCAAAACCTCCGCAAGGTATTTGTGCTTGCTCCTTGTGACCTTCTGATCCAGAAAAATGCATCAATTGAGATAGCATATTTAGCCAAAAAGTGAACGTGCACTTCACGAGAAAAAAAGAGCATAGTGTGATGATTCTTGAAAATGAATAGTAAGGAATGAATGATGACAACTGTGCAAGAGAAGGAATGGGGAATTGAAGGATATTAGTGAAACTAAATACGAAGATTTTAGTACAACGATTAATCTTTTTGGCTAATCAGTACAATGACAAATCTTTCATCCATTCTATAGGGTTTGTACAGAAAAGGAATCTTTCTTTTACCAAACTTACATATATTTTCCATAAGTATAAAATGAAAAGAAAAATATGAAGTAGTTTACCACAAAGCTACTTACAGATTTTGTAGGACAGTCTTCAGCAACAGACTTTAGTATTTCCTCATGGACAAAATTTGCCTCGATACCATCTATAGGATCAGGTACATCATCAATTCTGTGATCAATTAAAAGGAATACTTAAACAATTCCCATCTATGTGCTCATAGGGTGATTTTAAAAATACCTTGAACTATGTAAAAGACACATGTGGAGGGAGGTAATCTTAAACTCTTAAGCTTTAAATCAAGACTGAATATCACAAATTCAGAATTAGCTTCCATCACAAGAAGAAACCAACATTCCGATTTTGCATTAAATTTCAATGTTAATAAGAAATGAGGAAAATCCATAAACAACGGCCAACACATGACCAACATGTCACACTACTATAGTATTATCTGCTCTACCAATAGTCCAAAGTCTAATTTGGCAGTCATTGCTTATCACAAACGCCTATAGCTGACATTCTTTTCACAGAATATTGAAATATTTTTGTATTATCAATGAACTGCATTAGTCTGCCGCTATATTTGGTCATTCTTTGAGTCTTTAAATTCAGGGACCTTGCCAATTTTCTGATCTTTTTAAAAGTGAAACAACCGATAATTTGACAAGCCAATGATTTTTTCCGTGTTTCAGAATACGGTTAACCAACATGTTAACTAATCGATTATGATAAATGGGATCGGATTTTGCAGTTTTTTCTTCTGCAGTACCTCGACGTGACATGAGCACAAAAAAGGTTCAAGGATCAGTTTTATAAGGGCTAAAAACGAATCACTTAATTTGGCTTTTTGACCCCATATTGTGAGAGAAAAAAGCAAAGAAATTTGCCTTGGACCAACTTCAAAATTCATATGATTTCAGATAGGATGGACACCTTAATTTGATTGCATTCAATAACAGGATTACATTATGCATCCTCAACTTCTCCAAGGAAAACAGTCAAATTTCACCAAATCAATTGAATATCCTTTTGAAAATTGAATATCCCTTTGATAAAAGAAATAAAAGGTGAGAATACCGATGATGATTTAAGGCAATTATTAACACACATACCTACTGGTGAAGAGCAAGCCAAGACAGAAGCTTCCTAGACACAGGAAGAGAACCAATCTCCTCGATACATTCTTAACAGACTCTTCCCCTCCTCTGCTCTTCATTGACATTTCCTTCCCTCACTCTCTCTCACTAAATCCTCAACCTCTGTAATAACAATCCTTTACAATAATTCCAACTGCCCCAAAGAATATTGGCAACCACAAAATTTTGAGACATGCCAATTTAGAGAGAGAGTAAATCAACAGAACATTTAGAGAGAGAGAGCAAATCAACAGAAAATTTAAAGAGAGGCAGTCACACGAAAAACTTGAGACTCCCAAAAAAAGAGTGACTCAAGTAATTCACTCACAGGAAAAACTTGAGACCCCCAAAACACAGAGAGTGACTCAAGTTATAGAACATTAATTTAAAAGAGAACAAGTCGTTCACAGGAATAACGCAGAAAACGCCAAAGGCCTAGAACCCAGAAAAGTGTAAGAAGAAGACAAAATTCATTGAAATTAATTAAAAAAAGAGCGTGAGAGAACAACTATTCTGAGGAATAACTCGAGTGCCCCAAAACCCAGATTGGTATGAGAGAGAAAAAATTCATTGAACATCAATCACATTTACAAGAAACAGTGAGGACAGTAGTTCTCAGGAATAACTAGAGAGCCCCAAAATCGAGAGACAGTGCTTTGGAGAGAGAGAGAGAGAAAAAAGCACCAGCAGGATTTCTACAATGGCGGTGGCTCCAAGCGAAAGGAATCTCCAAATGCGTGCAAAGGAGATAAGCACCCAACTGCGTCAGAATAAAGAACCCATTTTGACATGGAACCGAACCGAACCGAACCAAACCAAACTTAGGACAAAAGCCTCGTCCCTCACATTATCTGGGGTACTCGATATGGGATCTTATCAGAGGTTGGGATGAGAGAGAAAGAGAAGATATATTGAGAGATAAATAGCTCTCTGACCAACACCTGTAACGTAATGGAAGAAGAAACCATGAGAGAGAGACTGACCGAGAAAGTGGGTATTGGAATTGATGAGTATGGAGGGGGCAGGAGAGGAGATAATGAGACCCTGGATTCTTGGGGTGCAGAGGATCCATGTGAAAAAGGGACTGAATGCGATGGAGTTGGAACAGTGGCAAAGCTACCACATGGGTTGTTGGCCTTGACAGACCGATTTAGAGAGAGAGAGAGAGAGGAGGGAATTAAAGTCTTCATGCGAGATAATTAACAAGTAGAGAGAGAGAGAGAGAGAGAGGGGACTTAAAGTCTTTCATGAGGGTAAGAGAGAGAAAGTGGGTAAGAGAAAGAAGAGGGAGTGCAGAGGTCCAGAGAGAGAGAGAGACTCAAAAGTAGCAGCTTTAAAATCGGAGGACGTCAAATTTTGCTTGGTTTTAAATTTAAAAAAAAATGGAACAGTGAGGTCAAATATTGCTTCCAATAATTATCATTGGAATGGAAACTCCCACTAGACCATCGCCTTCACTACAATCTCCACTTAAGTTGGGTCCACATGCACAAAAATAATAGAGACTTTACCATATAATAATCCCATGGGTGAAGAGCTACCTAGAAGATCTTACTCGATCTGAAATTTAGGGTTTCACCCAAAAACAATACAATTATTTCTAGAAAAAAAATACGGATAATTACTAAAAACACCTCACATTGGGCTTTCTAAACACTTTACCCCACTTTAATTTTTTCTCATTAAAATTTCTCAAAATTTAACTTTTATAACTAATACCCCCGATCTCAAAAAAATTTAAAAAACGATAAGTTTGCCCTTTCTTTTTAACCTATCAATTTTACACTCCAGCACTTATGGAATGCATTCAAGAGAATAATTCACTGTTAAATAGGCAGTCCAGCACCTGTAAAATGCGCTCCGGCATCTTTAGAATTCACTTCGGCAATTGATGAACTCGCTTCGGCGAATTGTTGATTGTAAAATAGGCACTCTGGAACTTGTAAAACGCACTCCGACACCATTAGAATGCACTCCGGCATTTAGTGAACTTATTCCGGTGGGTAGTTCACTGTAAAATAACAACTCCGATACTTGTGAAGAGCGCTCCGGCATGTAAAGAACAATGAACCGGCAGTTTCCTCCCTGGAAATTTTGCAGTCCGGCGATTCATCGCATCACCTCGGTGATATGCTTCCTGGAAACACAAGCACTCCAGCGAATACACTGAAGTAGTCCGACCTAGTTGAATATGGCTACGTCAAATAGTCTGGAGTTTTGAAGCTTCAATCAGGCAATTACGTTCCTGGCAGGTCAGTCCGGTCATGTCTCTCAGCGGTCTGGCGATTTGTTTAATGTGGAGACCGGTGATTTGTAATATAACTCTGGTACTACCAAATACCCCCCAAGTACCAAAAGCTACATGGGCTGTCGGACCTCCATGTACCAATTGTCAGACCCCGTTAAACTGAAAAAAAGTGTTGAACTGCTCTTTGACATTACCGGATCACACTTTGGACTTGTTTTCGGACCGCATGGGCCTATTGCTGAACTGCTCTTTGGCAGCGTCGGACCACATGGGCCTATTGCTGAACTGTTCTTTGTCAGCGTCGAATTGCTTTGCGATATTATTGAACCGCTTGTTTATAGTGCTGGACCGCCTTTTTGTGTGTTATGGGAAAAGTTAAATATTCGGTGTTAGAAGAGAGAGAGGGCATTTTGGTTCTAAAACCTATTACTTTTTGACTGGGGGTATTACTTGATTGTCCAAAATTTAGGTTTAAAATGAGCATTCCATAATCCCATAGAAATCTCAATTCCAATGGAAATATCAATTCTAAGCTAACCAAACACAATTGTCCCAGCTTTTCCATAGAAGTGACTCCTAGAAATCTGAATCTAAAAAACCAAATGGGCCCTAAGCTATCAGAAAAACTTTAAAAATTAGCTGAGTGACATGAATATCGTTGCTTGTTCCGGGTTAGAAAAATGGAAAAAGGGCTTATTTTGAAAATGAATTTCGTGTTGCTAAGATATTATCACTATTTCGCCTCAAGCACTTAAATGGAGCTATACTAATGAAATGCTCAGGATTATTCAGAATTTCCAATCCTAAAGAGGGGCAATCAGGAAGATATTCTTGATGATGCCTACGAAATAAAATAAAACTTAAAAAGTAACCATTTTATTGTTCAATATGATGACTTGATGAACTTGTAAAGTAGCCTAATCATCAAAGTAATAGTTTCCCTTTCTACGAAAAAATGGATTTTAAATACAAAAGCACTTAGATCTACATCCAAAATTGAGCAATCTTTAATGCAAATCTTAGAACGTTGTTCAGGCACACAAATCTACATTTTATTTTCTTTTGAGGTGAGCCTGATGGTTAAAGAGGTCACATGAGCTAATGAGTATTACCCTAGGTAATGGATAGAAAAAATGCTCACTCAATAACCTAATATGAATATCTTTTGAAGAAACAGTATAGTCACTCACGGGATACCAAAACTTGATGGCCCTGTGACACCAAATTTGGTGCTCCGTCACCTCAGATAACCAATTTCAGATGCGAGGGTTCTGTATGATATCAAACGCCCCAAAACCAATCTCGTCCAAGTTTGACTTAGTTTCAATTCCTGGAGCTTCAAAAATTAAAATTTATTGTTTCTCAAACTCTATAATTTAAATTTTGGAGCTCCTAAAAATTCCAAATTTCTTAGATTCTTCCATATGGGTTAAATTAGATTTGAGGCTCCAAATCCATTTTTACTATTTTTAAGGAAAATATTTTTGATTTGTTAAAGAACCATTTGGAACACTAGTGGGGGGATGAATACCAAATTTGGTGATCCAGGATCAACATGGATAGGGGATATGAACATGTCCCAGTGGCATGCTCTTAGAAACCCTCCAACTCTAACGAGCTAGGTGGCCTTCAAGACTTTATCCCCGGTTTTGGTGGTTTTTAAAAATATTCAAGCGCACAACAAATAAACAAGTTAAATTCTACTAAAAGAAAACATTTCAAGCAAATGTTCTTATATCAATAAATAAAAGCTGTTAGAGAGCTTTTGATCTAGAGTTTGATAATTTTTTTGTTTAGAGTCCCAGTTTCACCAAAGAACTAAGAAGCTTGAATTGTAAGCTTCAAGCAAATCTTCAGTTCTTTGAATATTTCTATGAATATATTTTGCATCATCAGAATTTCCTTTTAGCTCTCCATTAATAAAATCATTGCGTAGAAAGTAGAAATAAATAACCAACTATCAAATTTCAAAACATAACCAAGATAAATAAATCAAATTTCGAAGTTTCATGAAAGCATAAAAAAGGAAACATGCCAATAAATTTGAAGTTAAGACATAAGTGCTCTGATTCCCTTAAAAAAAATCTAGTGCTCTGCTTGCTAAGCTAAGGAAAACATTTTGAAGATTTATGGTGGATGCTGCCTTTGCCACAACAGAACAGAAAACCACTTAAACGATATCTAACCAATGAAAATCAACAAATGAAGCAATAAATAATTAAGGATGATCCATGTAAAAGATATGCAAAAGAATAATACTTATAGTCCATTAAACTATTAATATTGGTGCGTGTTATAAGGAAAATGCTTTGATAATGACTTGTCACCCGTTATTCAATCATGCCAAGTAACCTATTTATAAATTGAATTGAGCTTCTAATGGTAATTCAATTTGTAATGACATCATTACTTGTAAGAAAATAAATGATTCCACATTAGACAAAAATAAAATAACAACGCTAACTACTTTCCCAATCTGATCAAACAGCTCGTTTGATCAGCGATTCTTGAAAACCCAAATATTCAGCTCAATCTCGTCTCACCGGGTAGTTTTGATGAGTGATTCTTGAAAACCCAAATATTTAGGTCAATCTAGACGACAAAGGAAAAGAAAAACCAGCTCGTTTTCTTCACAGAGATTTGAGGATCTTGAGAATTCTCAAAACCAAGAAAAACCAGCTTGTTTGTTTCTTACGGAGATTTGAGGAGCTTTGAGAGGGGTAGAGACAGGAGATGAGGGAAAAGCAGGAAGGAGAGGGAAGAGCGTGAGGCTTAGAGAGAGAGAGAGAGAGAGCCGCGAGAGGGTAAAGTTTGAAGAGAAACGCGATCCAAGCCAAAAAGATTTGAGTCTGACTTGAATATTTTTGACTCGTAGTTTTGAGGGTAAAGTGATATCTTTTTGGATGGATTATATATTTTTACGAAGTTATCCAAACGGTATCTTCTATCTCAATATTTTTTTCTTATCATTTGAAAATATTACAATTTTGGGTACATCCAAATTGACACTAAGATATAAATCTTGATATGTATGTTGTCGAACTGGTACAAAAATAACAAATTCCTAAGCTCGCATGTAAAAGTTAGGGCTAAGAGTTCAAGCATTTAGAAGAGTTTCGTAGCCAAATCTATTAAAGAAAACCTATACGTTTTCTCGTTATAGGCCTTATAGTGCTGCTTCTGAAGAGGGGTAGTAATAGTAATTTTGATTTATGTGCAAAAAGTTATGACTTCTGGAATGGAAGTAGCAGTACCCAAATAGGCTGCATCCCTGCTCACACAAGTGTTAGCGAAAATTGGTGGAGCGCGAGACTAACCCGAGATCAAAGAAATGATGTCGTGAGGCTGGTGATCGCAGAGCCCGGATATTTATTGTCCTTTTGATAGAGAGTGAATAAATTTTATTTGTTTTTGCTCACAGAAACTCTGTGTTTTTTTTTTTTCTTGCTGATGCATTCTTTCTCTCTCTAGCTTCCTTTTTTATAGGGAGAAGAAAATGGATTTAACGGTTATATTTCCAACGAGTCTCTGAGAATGGTCTTCCTTGATCTTAGGGATATCCATCCAAGGTTCATATGAATGTTGCTTTATGTGAACATTGGATAATCATAGCACTCTTCCCACAATCGTAGGTTTCTCATACCACAATTGTAGGTAAAGTCACATGAGGCCTTATGACCATACGTGCCAACATCTCCCACTTGGCCATGACTGTCGAACGTAATAATCAGTCACATGCATACTCTCACTTTTGAGTATGACCTTTTAAGAAAATTTCTTGTCATGAGATTTTTCTTACGCTTTTGCCGATATGCCTCTCATAACAAATGTCCATCATGAAGATTTTCACGCTTATGCGGATTTTGTCACTCATGAAAAAAATGACTGACTTAGACATTTTTAAGTCTTATTAAACTAGTGTGTTTAAACAATAGTTTAAC